GTGAAATCATAGAGCTGTGAAATTAGCCCATACTAAAGCATATACCCCAAGATGGGGTTAGTTATATTCTGTGAATTTAGACGACTTGTGAAATAGTACAATGTGAAAATAAACGACTCCAAGTGTATAAGGAGCTGTGATTGAAGTCACAAAAACATTATTTTGTTTTGTAAATTGGAGATATTTTGTATCGATAAATAAAGTTTCTTTATAAGTGTTTCCAAATAGCTAAATAAAATTACCTTATTCATTTAATAATGCATTTATTTAGCCTATCGTTAATTATTGCAATTATAGGCAGTGAGAGCCAGCTCATTTACGGCTTCCAGCATGTCGATTTGACGATACAGCCAAACGCTGTGGGTAAGGATGTGACGGAGGCAACGGTACGAAAAGTGAACTTGCTCAAAATAGTGGCCCACGACCACGAGTACTTGCTGAGACTGGCGTACGTCGAGTCACAATTTGGTGACAAACCATCTAGGTCATTTGGGGCGGCAAACCAAACCGGCGGCATTTGGCAAGTGAGCAACGAGGTCCTATTGGCCAGCCAAGACACTGTTGCCACGCCATCGTTGACCATGCTCATTTATAAGATATCGGCTAAATTTCGCATTAATTGGTATAATGTGCGCGCGGCTGATTTGACCAAGCCACTATATTCAGCGTTGGCCGCACAGCTATACACCAAAACACTGGCCGATCCCATACCGGACACTATGGCTAAGCAGGCAGACTACTGGGCCAAACATTATTACCCAGGTGGCTCGGCTAAGGTATTCACCGACTCGGTCACCACATTGCTAAAGTGTTTTGTGTGCCGAACATGTGAGGACAGTTGCTACGTGCTCGATGGGTCGGGCAGTATTGTTCCAGGCGATTTTGAAAAAGCTCGCAAATGGATCAGGACAGAATCGAGGACTTTTACACACCCGAAATGAGCAGATTCTGTTTGGTACTGTTCTCGGATTCAATAGAAACGGTGTTTAAGCTAGATGATGGGTATACAGATAATTTGTTTATTGTTTACTTACCATGTATTTTATACCCACATAATACAAAACCAGTAAAAATTTTACAATTTATAAGTAGCGCATTAAAATATTATTTATTAATTTTAAATAATATTAGCATTTTCTATATTTTTTATAATAGATTGACCAAGCCACATGTTCTAGCCAAGGTCGATGGTATGGTCCAGCCTCGGAGCGGAACCAACACCCGGGCCGGCATGATTGGGGCGGAGGACATATTCAAAGCATCGGCCCAAAGGCTGGGCGTTCCCAAACAGATCATGGTATTGACCGACGGCCAGTCCAACGATGGCGTACAGCCGGCGCCCGGATTGGCCAAAGCGATGGGCATTCAGACAATGGCATGGGGTGTGGGTTCTGGGGTTAACCAAAAGGAGTTACTTGAAATTGCCAACGGCGACCCTGATAGTGTTGATTTAATTAATAATTATGACTCGCTATTTGAAAAAACCTACAAGTTTAAAACGATGAAATGCAGCATGGCACAAAAGCCGCCAGTTGGCACTGAGGTGGCAGATAAATTGCTCAAGGGCAAAAAGAGATTTTATAATTATAAATTGGGCGCAAACGGCATAACTGTTAACGTAGGCAATAAAAATAGCGGTCAGGTTACTGGTTATTTTTCGTTCACCCTGGCCAATCCAACGGTAGCCGAAAATGATGGTCAGTTTACCGGTTCGGCTAATATAGTTAAATCTGGTGCCACAGAAGTGTTTGTGGCCATAGAGGGCTCAGCTCCCGGTGACAGCCATTATTCTATTAAGGTTGTTAACAATTGATTAATTAATGTACATTTGATATACATCTACAAAATAATGACGAAATAATATAATTTACATAATTAATATATTATTAAATTTAAATAAATTAGAAGATTACTTTACAGTTTATTGCAATAAATTATTGTAATATTTTTAAAGAACTATTCATTGAATAATCATTATGTATTTTATAAAGTTATTTTGCATTATTGTAAATGTTTTCAATTAATCTTAATTAAAATAATGATCAGAAAATCATATTAATTAATAATATAGAATAGAAATAATAATACCAAGCCCGGACCATATCTAATACCCTTAAGAAAATTTTTTTGATAAGTTTTATAAAATAAATTTTAATCACAAAACAATATTGTGCTGTTATTTCACAATTAGTTTTGATTTAATATTTTATTGTTGATTAGAGCACATTAAACAATTAGGCTTAAAACGAGATGATAAACGCACTTGATTATTACGGCATTATACAACTTCAAAGTAATATTCATAAGTATATAATTAGCTAATCTATGGCTACGATTAAAACAGATTATCTATACTCTATATAAAGTGTTCAAATTTAATTAAAATACAATAATTAATAAAAGTTTGTTACTTAAATATATTTTTATTTTCTATAAGCTAATAATAACTAAATAAAATAAGTTAATTTTTTAAAATATGAATTTAATAAACATAACCTTGTTTGTTACAATAATATCTATAACGAGCGAGCTGATTTATGGATATACACCGGTCGACTTAACCCTACAGCCAAACGCTATGGGTAGGGATGTGGCCGAGGCGTCGGTGAGAAAAGTGAACTCGCTCAAAATAGTAGCCGACGACCACGAGTTTCTATTGAGACTGGCGTACGTGGAGAGCGGGTACGGCTGTTCGTACGCCAGCCTCAACACGACAGGTGGTCTATGGGGTGTGAGTAGTGCTGTCTTTTTGGCCACCCAAGATACAGGAGCCACACCCTTGTTGACCAAGCTCTATTTTAAAATATCGTCCAAATTTCGCATTAATTGGCTAGATGTGACTGAAGCCGATTTAACCAAGCCACTATATTCAGCGCTGGCCGCTCTGCTATACACCAAAACACTGCCTGAACCCATACCGGACACGATGGCCAAACAGGCAGATTATTGGGCCAAATATTTTCACCCAGGTGGCTCGGCTAAGGTATTCACCAACTTGGTGACCACAATGCAAAATAGTTTTGTGTGCCGCACCCGTATGGACACGTGTTTTGTGTTGGACGGCTCGGGCAGTATAGCAAAGGACGACTTTGAAAAGGCTCGCAAGTGGATTGTGGGCCAGATTGATATTTATGAAGGTCAAAACTCACGGTTTTGCCTGGTTTTATTCTCTACTGATGTTCAGACAATATTCAACCTAGATAACAAGTAAGTCAAGTACCATATTAACCAGCATATAGTACTGTAAAGTGCAACCAATAGGGAACTTAACTTTGGCAAAAAAGTTT